ATTATTCAAATGGCATATGGCTTGACATATTGCCACAAATTACATATAATCTATACTGAACATGTGAATGAGTCCTCAGGGAGTCTTTTGGCTAAGACTCATTAATACATCTTAGTACAATAAAAGATTTTTATAAAACCACAAAACTGACTCCCATGATAAAAATCTTGCTTAAAAAACAAAGGTGATTTTACAGAAACATTCATGTTTCCACAGGGGTTTAGGCTGTGTACCAACTAATCAGTTGGTTTCCTCTGTTTTGCTTTATTTCTATCAGAACTCAGTGAAATAATTATATTGACTTAAATTCAGTTGTTTTCCCAAAAATTTTCTTAAAATATTTGAAGCTAAAAATGGAAATTTTAAGTGAATGCACAACCATTTTTTAAATCGAACATAAAATAATTTAAAAACGATTATTCCCAAGCACATTTCCACTGACTTTAATGCAATTAGCATTTATTGAACATCTAGTGCACCTCCAACACACAACACAGACTCAGAAGGCACACCAAGTATGTACCCGCCTACAGTCACTTCCGTAAACCCGAGGAAAAGTAATTCTCAAAGTAATTCTCAGAAGGCACGCTGGGCATGTAATTCGCCACGGCCTCAAAACCCGAGGAAAGTAATTCCCAGAAGGCACGCCAAATATGTACCCGCCTACGGTCACTTCCATAAACCTGAGGAAAAGTAGTTCTCAGAAGGCACGCCAAGGATCTACCCGCCTACAGTCACTTCCCGTAAACCCTAGGAAAAGTAATTCCTAGAAGGCACGCTGCGATGTACCCGCCTACGGTCATCTACAAACCTGAGGAAAAGTAATTTCAGAAGGCACGCCAAGTATGTACCCGCCACGGTCACTCCGTAAACCTGAGGAAAAGTAATTCTCAGAAGGCACGCCGCAAGCATGTACCCGCCTACGGTCACTCCGTAAACCTGAGGAAAAGTAATTTCCAGAAGGCACGCCAAGCATGTACTCCGCCTTGGCAGCCTATCACTCCCTAAACCTGGAGGAAAAGTGACTCCTGGAAGGGCACGCCATGGATGTGCAATCTACCATGCAGTCACTTCCTGTGACAATCGAGGAAAACTCTGAAGGCACGCTTAAGTATGTACCCGCCTACAGCTACTTCCTCAGAAACTCCGAGGAGAAGTAATCTCAGAAGGCACGCCAAGCATGTACTCCGCCACAGTCACTTCTATAAACCCGAGGAAAAGTAATTCTCAGAAGGCACGCACGATGTACCCCACCTACGGTCACTTGCATGTAAACCCGAGGAAAGTAATTTTCAGAAGGCACGCCACGCATGTACCCGCCTCACGGTCACTTCCCAAACCTGAGGAAAAGTAATTCCTCAGAAGGCACGCCAAGTGCATGTACCTGCCTACAGTCACTTCCCTAAACCTTGAGGAAAAGCACTCTCAGAAGGCACGCCAAGTATGTACCCGCTACAGTCACTTCCTCCCAGAACCCGAGGAAAAGTAATTCTCAGAAGGCACGCCAAGTATGTACTCACTTACAGTCACTCCGTAAACCTGAGGAAAAGTAATTCTCAGAAGGCACGCCAAGTATGTACCCGCCTGCGGTCACTTCCAGAAACGCGAGGAGAAGTAATTTCAGAAGGCACGCCAAGCACACCCGCCTTACAGTCACTTCCCCTAACCTGAGGAAAAGTAATTCTCAGAAGGCACGCTAAGCACTCCTATGTACCCGCCTACGGTCACTTCCATAAACCTGAGGAAAAGTAATTTCCTGAGATCATCACACTTCAATGTAACTTGTAAAATACTCCCTACAAATTCAACAAATATTTACTATGAAGAAAATATAGCCTGAAAATTGAAATACAAGTCTAAGATTCCTGTTTTCCTAAAGAATTTTTAATAGTGAAATCTCTCAAATTCAAAGAACATGAATTATATTTCAAATGTATGTTTTTATAAAATTTATGTATATAAATTTATATTTGAATAAATATATGAAAATATATACAATTATAAATATACACATATGCATTATATATTATAAATATATATACACGTAGAAATATATAATATAGAAATATATGTATATATTTATATACATATATTGATATATTTATATATGTATTGATTAAATATATAAGTATTTAAAATTTAATAAATTGTATATTTATTAAATATACAAATGTTTAATAAATGGAAATATAAAATATACATATATGAATATAAATATAGAATATGTATATAGTAGGTATACAAATATATATATTTATATTTGTATATATAACTACATATATAGTATATATACATATATTTATATTTGTATATATACAATATATTTGTATATATACACACATATTTATATTTGTATATATAAATATGTTTTATATATAAATATGTTTTATATATAAATATATAATATACATCTATATACACATATACATATAAAATCCTCCCTGGATTTCCTTCTGACGTGCCACTCACCACCCCAGCCTTCTTCTGAGACCGTGCCCCTCTAATGCCTCTCAAAGCTCCTTGTTAGCCTAACTACCACATCACTCAGATGCATTTTCTATTGACCCCTTTTCTTCCTTTCCCTTGGTTTCTATGATACTCCTTTTCTACTAACTTTTGTTTTCCCTCTCTTCCATTCTCTTCCTGAGTGCCATAATCAGGATACACATTTTCAATTATATAACCATATTTCCCAAAACCATCAACCTATCTTATCTCAGCATCAAGTACTTTTAGCATCGTATTAGAAGCTGCACAAAAAAAACCCCAAATTCAGAACATCTAAAACTGAATAGCATTCCTTTCAAACTGCTGCATCCTCCAGGGTTTCCTCTCTTGGTTGCCGTAATACCACCCTCTGTCAGAGAGCCAAGTGAGACCCTTCATGGTCCTTCCAGGCTGTCTCCTCAGCTTTGCACATGCAATCAGTCACTGTCCCTGCTTCCTCTTCCTCTGAACGCCTCCTCTTATCCGCTGGTATCACTCAAATGCACACCTTGACTGGGCATTTTCAAAGGCCCCTTTATTCTTTTACCAATATCTCCTGTATCAGGCCCTCTGCTTTTTTGTTTTTATTGCTTCATCTTCCTACTTTGTCTAAAAATAGTTCATGAGTTAACAGTGTCAAGAGGACAAAGCCCTTGGTGGTGCATGCATATTTACTCATGATTTGGCCCAACCCAATCTTCTTAGACATGTCACCTACCGCCCTTTCTACCCTGAACTGAACTTCTGACACAACTTCCCAAATACTCTGTAGGTGCTGTGTTGGAATGGCATTGCCCATCCATCCTGGTTGCTGCTTGGACTGCGGAGGCTGAAAAGGAGAAGCCTGCCTTCATGTAGGCTTGCACCAGGATCCAGTTGCTCTTTAGTTTCCACTAGTCTGGTGTGATGGCACAAGACTCAGAGGTAGACGGAGTGAGAACCACACTTCTGCTGTGTTACCGGGTGAGCCTCCGTGAAGATGATTTTCCCTTGCAGTGGGAATCTCCAAGCCTAGTCCCTTCCTCCTTTGATGTTGAGTGCTAGGGTTTACACATGCTACTTGTGCAGGTGGGAGCAGTAACAGAATCAGCAACTGTAGCAGCAGCTTCTCAGTTTGGCTAGAGGATTCCTGATCTAAGATAAGGCTGTAACTGTCTTAGTAACTCTGTTCTGTGGTGTGCTTGTAATGTCATTCCTGAAAGTTCAACTTAGAGTCTCCCAATGATTATTTTCTCAAACTAGATTATTTTCTGCTTAAATAGGTAGAGGAGTGGATTCTGTCCTATACAACTGAATCCTGAATCAAAATTATATGTCTTTACAAGAATGTCCCCCCACTCTTTTATAATTAGTGAGCTCTCAATCACCCTTGAAGGTCTGGGTTTGGAAAGCATCTCTACACATTTTTTAAGCCACTAATTGCTTCCTTCCCTATGGTAATATATACATTTGTTGATATTATTATATCAATATAATACTTTATTCATATTAATATTTGTTCATTTGCCTTTCCCTATTTGAAGCTGAGATATTTGAGGGCAAGGAATAGGCTTTGCTCATCTTTGATTTTCGAATTCTCCTTCTTTGGCATAACACAGAGTCTCTGGAAACACTGGTCGAAATGAACTGAAACACACTATAAGCCAGCGGTAAGAGATTTTACCCTCTAGCACGCCATCTGTACTAAGTGGGGTCAAAGGAGTAAGAGTAGGAGACAGAGAGCTGTACATGCAAAAGCAGGAGACACTAACTACAGCTGGGATTTGGACTGAGGATAAATGAACATGGATTTAATACTGAAAGTTGGATGAAATTTGATCTTGTTAAGAAGACAAGGAGGATATTTCAAGCTTAATGTAAAGGAGTTTAAGGGAGGCTGAAAATGCAGAAAAAATGAGTGGATTAGAAAAATAACCTGAACAGAGATCTTGCACAGGGGAGTTCTGACAGGTAAGAAATGAAAAGAAAAATTATGATCAGCTTGGAGAAGCCTGATATCAGCGTGGACTAAGGAGAATGATAATTTTTATATAGGTAAGAGGAAGTCCTTGAAGGTGTTGAAGTAAGAAGCATGTTTTACAAAGCTGGTTAGAGAACTGGGAAAGATCTGAGAGAGTGGCTTTCTTTCTTCCTTAAGTTGACATGCTTTAAGAAAAAATACTTTAATACTAAAAACTATATTCAAGGTAAGAAAACTCAGATGTCCAATGTTCATCTGTATTATGAATAATATTCCAAAATTTATAGCAGAGCTCTTTGTATTAAATCCAGGGATCCTTTGCTCATATAAAGTTATAATTCTAGAAACATTATGAGAAGACTCACACAGCGTGTGTCATCATTCTGAAGATATTAATTCCGCATCAAGCTAAAAGAATATCACTCAGAAAAGTACCTTTTGTGGTACTTTTTATCCAAATAACACAACTTAAAATATCAACAACTCTAGAGCTTGTCCCAATGACCTTTGATCATTAGTGCACATGAAAAATTACACAGTTCTGGCCACTTACCCTTCCTGCGTAGTGCATGATGGTAAAGGCTGTACCGTGGTCTTTGAGGGCAACATTCCCATTCCCATCCTTCACGGGGGAGTACACCGCATTTGTGTTTGAGGATTCTAGGAGACTTTGCAGCTTTTTTGGAAAATTTGATTCCATTGACCAAATCATTTGACTTTCTTCATCCAATAACGCGAGAAATCCCGATGGCTTCTGAGAGTTAAGAAGAGATGGGGAGTTGTTTTGTCTATTACTTAGTTTGATACTTTTGTTATGATTCATGCATGCTTGTTTATATTTTTGTTAGATTCATACAGACACTCAGAAAATGAATCAGTCTTTACGTTAATACATTTCTATTTCTGCCCCACCACCTAGCAGGTCTCCGATGTAAAGTAGACCCCCAATAATATTTATCAAATTAATGAACAAATAAGTAAAAAAAGTATTGTAATGTCATTAAAATACTGTAGTTATTTAAAAAGTACATTTTCATCTTATTAAGAAAAATAAAATTTCAGACTACAGGAAAATTGTCATTTTTCTTGACCTATAATCCATCTAAAATATTCCACACCTATGATGAGACAAGAAACTTATCAAAAAATAAAGCTCATCAGGATGTTAAGTCATAAACATTACGGCAAAGCTGGGCACAGTGGCTTAGGCCTATAATCCGAGCCCTTTGGTAGGCCAAAGCAGTCAGGTCACTTGAGCTCAGGAGTTTAAGACCAGCCTGCCTGGGCAATATGGTAAGACCTCATCTCTATTAAAAAATAATAATAATAATACAGAAATTAGCTGGGCATGGTGATGTGTGCCTGTAGTCCCAGCTTCTCAGGAGGCTGAGGTGGGAAGATCACTAGAGCCCAAGAGGTATACGTTGCATGGAGCCATGATCATGCCACTGCACTCCATCCTGGACAACAGAATACAACCCTGCCTCAAAAAAGAAAAAAAAAAAAAAAAGAGAGAGAGTATGTCCAAGATGGCTGAATAGGAACAGCTCTGGTCTGCAGCTCTCAGTGTGATCAACGCAGAAGACGGGTGATTTCTGCATTTCCAACTGAGGTACCTGGTTCATCTCATTGAGACTGGTCGTACAGTGGGTGCAGCCCATGGAGGGTGAGCCGAAGCAGGGTGGGGCATCACATTACCCAGGAAGCGGGAGGGGTCAGGGGATTTCCCTTTCCTAGCCAAGTGAAGCCATGACAGACTGTACCAGGAAAATTGGGATACTCCTGCCCAAATACTGCACTTTTTCAATGGTCTTTGCAAATGGCACACCAGGAGATTATATCCCACGCTTGGTTCAACGGATCCAACGCCCACAGAGCCTTGCTCACTGTTAGTCCAAGATCAAACTGCAAGGCAGCAAACCTGGCTGGGGGAGGGGCGTCTGCCATTGCTGAGGCTTGAGTAGGTAAACAAAGTGGCCAGGAAGCTCAAACTGGGTGGAGCTCACCACAGCTGAATGAGGTCCGCCTAACTCTGTAGACTCCACCTCTGGGGGCAGGGCATAGCTGAACAAAAAGGAGCAGAAATTTCTGCAGACTTAAACATCCCTGTTTGACAGCTCTGAAGAGAGCAGTGGTTCTCCCAGCACGGTGTTTGAGCTCTGAGGACAGACAGACCACCTGCTTAAGTGGGTCCCTGACCCCTGTGTAGCCTAACTTGGAGACACCTCCCAGTAGGGGCCGACTGACACCTCATAGAGTCAGGTGCCCCACTGAGATGAAGTTTCCAGAGGAAGGATCAAGCAGCAATATTTACTATTCTGCAATATTTGCTGTTCTGCAGCCTCCACTGGTGATACCCAGGAAAACAGGGTCTGGAGTGGACCTCCAGCAAACTCCAACAGACCTGCAGCTGAGGGAACTGACTGTTAGAAGGAAAACTAACAAACAGAAGGTAATAGCATCAACATCAACAAAAAGGGCATCCACACCAAAACCCCACATATAGGGCACCATCATCAAAGACCAAACGTAGATAAAATGACAAAGATGGGGAGAAAACAGAGCAGAAAAGCTGAAAATTCTAAAAACCAGAGTGCCCTTTCTCCCCCAAAGGATTGCAGTTCCTCACCAGCAACAGAACAAAGCAGGATGGAGAATGGCTTTGATGAGCTGACAGAAGTAGGTTTCAGAAAGTGGGTAATAACAAACTTCTCTGAGCTAAAGAAGGATGATGTTCGAACCCATCACAAGGAAGCTAAAAACCTTGAAAAAATATAAGATGAATGGCTAACTAGAATAAACAGTGTAGAGAAGACCTTAAATGACCTGATGGAGCTGAAAACCATGGCACGAGAACTATGTGATGCATGCACAAGCTTCAGTAGCCGATTTGATCAAGTGGAAGAAAGGGTATCAGGGATTGAAGATCAAATTAATGAAATGAAGTGAGAAGAGAAGTTTAGAGAAAAAAGGAGTACAAAGAAATGAATAAAGCCTCCAAGAAATATGGGACTATGTGAAAAGACCAAATCTACATTTGATTGTCATACCTGAAAATGATGGGGAGAATGGAACCAAGATGGAAAATACTCTTCAGGATATTATCCCAGAGAACTTCCCCAAACTAGCAAGGCAGGCCAATATTCAAATTCAGGAAATACAGAGAACACCACAAAGATACTCCTTGAGAAAAGCAACTCCAAGACACATAATTGTCAGATTCACAAGGTTGAAATGAAGGGAAAAATGCTAAGGGCAGCCACAGAGAAAGGTCAGGTTACCCACAAAGGTAAGCCCGTCAGACTAACAATGGATCTCTTGACAGAAACCCTACAAGCCAGAAGAGAATGGTTGTCAATATTTAACATTCTTAAAGAAAAGAATTTTCAACCCAGAATTTCATATCTAGCCAAACTAAGCTTCATAAGTGAAGGAGAAATAAAATCCTTTACAGACAAGTAAATGCTGAGAGATTTTGTCACCACCAGGCCTGCCTTACAGGAGTTCCTGAAGGAATCACTAAACATAGAAAGGAACAACCGGTACCAGCCACTGCAAAAACATGGCAGAGTGTAAAGACCATCAATGCTAGGAAGAAACCGCATCAACTAATTGGCAAAATAACCAGCTCACATCATAATGACAGGATCAAATTCATACATAACAATATTAAACTTAAATGTAAATGGGCTAAATGCCCCAATTAAAAGACACAGACTGGCAAATTGGATACAGAGTCAAGACCCCTCAGTATGCTGTATTCAGGAGACCCATCTCACATGCAGATACACACACAGGCTCAAAATAAAGGGATGGAGGAAGATCTACCAAGCAAATGGAAAACAAACAACAAAAAAAAGCAGGGGTTGCAATCCTAGTGTCTGATAAAACAGACTTTAAACCAACAAAGATCAAAGGAGACAAAGAAGGTCATGACATAATGGTAAAGGGATCGATTCAACAAAAAAGAGCTAGCTATCATAAATATATATGCACCCAATACAGGAGCACCCAGATTCATAAAGCAAGCCCTGAGAGACTGAAAAAGAGACTTAGACTCCCACACTATAATAATGGGAGAATTTACCATCCCACTGTCAATATTAGACAGATCAATGAGACAGAAGGTTAACAAGGACATCCAGGACTTGAACTCAGCTCTGCACCAAGCAGACCTAACAGACATCTACAGAACTCTCCACCCCAAATCAACAGAATACACATTCTTCTCAGCACGACACTGCACTTACTCCAAAATTGACCACATAGTTGGAAGTAAAGCACTCCTCAGCAAATGTAAAATAACAGAAATCACAACAAACTATCTCTCAGACCACAGTGCAATCAAATTAGAACTCAGGATTAAGAAACTCACTAAAAACTGCACAACTACATGGAAACTGAACAACCTGCTCCTGAATGACTACTGGGTAAATCATGAAATGTAGGCAGAAATAAAGGTGTTCTCTGAAACCAATGAAAACAAAGACACAACATACCAGAATCTCTGGGACACATTTAAAGTGTGTAGAGGGAAATTTATAGCACTAAAGGCCCACAAGAGGAAGCAGGCAAGATCTAAAATCGACACTCTAACATCCAATTAAAAGAACTAGAGAAGCAAGAGCAAACAAATTCAAAAGCTAGCAGAAGGCAAGAAATAACTAAGATCAGAGCAGAACTGAAAGAGATAGAGACACAAAAAAACCCTTCAAAAAATCAGTGAATCCAGGAGTTGTTTTTTGAAAAGATCAACAAAATTGATACTAGCAAGACTAATAAAGAAGCGAGAAAAATAAAATAGTTAGAATGAAAAATGATAAAGGGGATATCACCACTGATCCCACAGAAATATAAACTACCATCAGACAATACTATAAACATCTCTATGCAAATAAACTAGAAAATCTAGAAGAAATGGATAAATTCCTGGGCATATACACCTTCCAAGACTAAACCAGGAAGAAGCTGAATTGCTGAATAGACCAATAGCAGGCTCTGAAATTGAGGCAACAATTAATAGCCTACCCACTAAAAAAAGTCCAGGACCAGACGGATTCACAGTCGAATTCTACCACAAGTACAAAAACGAGCTGGTACCATTCCTTCTGAAACTATTCCAGTCAATAGAAAAAGAGGGAATCCACCCTAACTCATTTTATGAGGCCAGCATCATCCTGATACCAAAGCCTGGCAGAGACACAACAAAAAAGGAGAATTTTAGACCAATATCAGGGACCAATATCCCTGATAAACATCGATGTGAAAATCCTCAATAAAATACTGGCAAACCTAATCCAGCAAAACATCAAAAAGCTTATCCGCCAATATCAAGTTGGCTTCATCCCTGGGATGCAAGGCTGGTTCAACATACGCAAATCAATAAACGTAAGCCATCACATAAACAGAACCAAAGACAAAAACCGCATGGTTATCTCAATAGATGCAGTAAAGGCCTTTGACAAAATTCAACAGCCTTCATGCTAAAACCTCTCAATAAACTAGGTATTGATGGAATGTATCTCAAAATAATGAGAGCTATTTATGACAAACCCAAAGCCAGTATCATACTGAATGGGCTAAAACTGGAAGCATTTCCTTTGAAAACTGGCGCAAGACAGGGATGCCCTCTCTCATCACTCCTATTGAACATATTGTCGGAAGTTCTGGTCAGGCAATCAGGTGAGAGAAAGAAATAAAGGGTATTCAATTAGGAAAATAGGAAGACAAATTGTCCCTGTTTGCAGATGACATGATCGTATATTTAGAAAACCCCATCGTCTCAGCCAAAAATCTCCTTAAGCTGATAAGCAACTTCAGCAAAGTCTCAGGATACAAAATCAGTGCGCAAAAATCACAAGCATTCTTATACACCAATAACAAACAGAGAGCCAAATCATGAGTGAATTCTCATTCACAATGGCTACAAAGAGAATAAAATACCTTGGAATCCAACTTACAAGGGATGTGAAGGACCTCTTCAAGGAGAACTACAAACCACTGCTCAGTGAAATAAAAGAGGACACAAACAAATGGAAGAACATTCCATGCTCATGGATAGGAAGAATCAATATCGTGAAAATGGCCATACTGCCCAAGGTAATTTATAGATTCAATGCCATCCCCATCAAGCTACCAATGACTTTCTTCACAGAATTGGAAAAAACTACTTTAAAGTTCATATGGAACCCAAAAAAGCCCATATTGCCAAGACAACCCTAAGCAAAAAGAACAAAGCTGGAGGCATCATGCTACCTGACTTCAAAGTATACTACGAGGCTACAGTAACCAAAACAGCATGGTACTGGTACCAAAACAGAGAGATAGAGCAATGGAACAGAACAGAGGCCTCAGATATAACACTACACATTTACAACCATCTGATCTTTGACAAACGTGGCAAAAACAAGAAATGGGGAAAGGATTCCCTATTTGATAAATGGTGCTGGGAAAACTGGCTAGCCATATGTAGAAAGCTGAAACTGGATCCCTTCCTTACACCTTTTACAAAATTTAATTCAAGATGGATTAGAGACTTAAATGTTAGATGTAAAACCATAAAAATCCTAGAAGAAAACCTAGGCAATACCATTCAGGACATAGGCATGGGCAAGGACTTCATGTCTAAAACACCAAAAGCAATGGCAACAAAAGCCCAAATTGACAAATGGGATCTAACTAAACTAAAGAGCTTCTGCACAGCAAAAGAAACTATCATCACAGTGAACAGGCAGCCTCAGAGCCGTCCTGGCCAACATGGTGAAACCCCGTCTCTGCTAAAACTACAAAAATTAGCCGGAAATGGTGGCACACATCTGTAGTTTCAGCTACTCAGGTGGCTGGCTGAGGCAGGAGAATTGCTTGAACCCAGGAGGCAGAGGCTGCAGTGAGCGAAGATCGTGCCACTGCACTCTAGCCTGGGTGACAGAGCGAGACTCAGTCTCAAAGAAAGAAAAGAAAAGAAAAGAAAAGAAAAGAAAAGAAAAGAAAAGAAAAGAAAAAGAAAATCCAAAGACTGCAATTGCCTGAGAGCTGTATTGGTGAGATCACTCCCTTTCAGCCAAAGGGAATGAAAACTAATAATGCCAGCCACGGGACATGCACACCCCTGGTGGGGCTCACACAGCAGAGCATGCTCCTTGAAGATACTCAGCAACAATGACAGCCACCTCTAAAACGAGAAATCAAATAACCTCCCTGGGAAGGAAAGAAAGAGAAGGCCCAATGCAGTGGAGAATGGCACTAGAAAGGAGGTAGGAACGCCTTCAAAAGCAAGCTCACCCACCTTAGCAAGTTACCTGACATCAGCAATGCCTGGTGAGACTGCTGTTGCCAACACAAAAGTGTTTTTGGATAAAATAATTTGAAGAAGAAAGCCCCTTACTGGGAGGACTAGTTCAACATGAAGTTCCATAGAGCACATTGCAAGAAGTTCAGAGTGGCCGGGGGCCCCCATGAGGAGTCCCCTAAAGAAGCTGAAGGTGAATAAATATATACGTATATTTATATATAAGATATATATAAACATTTATTTTTATATAAGATATATAATATATAAATATAAAATATATAAATATATAAATTATGTGTGTGTGTGTGTGTGTGTATATATGAGAGCAGCCCTAGAAAATGGTCTATGTGAGAAGTTTGCCAAGCATTGGTTCCATCTGTGATGTCTTCAAAATCAAACAATTCCTTACACCAACTAATAGCAAGCTATTTGCTGAAGAGTAAGTAAAATGTTGATATTACAATATTATCCATCATTCCTTCATGTATTGATCTGAGCATCAGGTCATGATACTTCTGTAAATACTGTTACAGATTCACATACAAACATACACAAGACACACAGCAGAAAGACAAATGAGCCATGGCAAGGTTGTCTGCAAGTCTGTTTCTGTTTCAAGGGCAGTGACAGATGTCTTCTCTGGGGTGAAAATATTCAGTTGTTTGGTAAAGTGGTCAATGTGTATTGCAGTAACTCAAAGACAGGGCCCCGAATCAGTATAAAGATGATGGACATTCCGAGAGCTCACGGATTCTGCCCCAAAAATCAACATGATGTTCGCCAGGGATAAGGTGGTTGATTACTAGCAACATTTTTGAAGTATTATTATTTGTATTGTCTTCAAATTAAAAACAAAATCTTGTGTGTTACATTTTCTGGATGTCTGAAATAAAACAATAAAAGAATGGGGCGATTAACCTTTTAGACTTTGAAAACTTGTGGAAGTGCCTAAAAACAAAAATAGAACCTGGGGAAATAAGCCATAAGAAAGGGATTAATCGGCCGCGCATGGTGACTCACGCCTATAATCCCAGCACTTTGGGAGGCTGAGGCAGGCGGATCACGAGGTCAGGAGATTGAGACCATCCTGGCTAACATGGTGAAACCTGGTCTCTACTAAAAATACAAAAAAATTAGCCAGGCGTGGTGGTGGGTGCCTGTAGTCCCAGCTACTTGGAAGGCTGAGGCAGGAGAATGGCGTGAACCCGGGAGGCAGAGCTTGCAATGAGCCAAGATCATGCCACTGCACTCCAGCCTGGGCAACAGAGGGAGACTCTGTCTCAAAAGAAAAGAAAGGGATTGATGACCTTCAATTCCTTTACTAGTAAAGGGTTAGAAGAGATTGCATGGCTCTAATCCATGTGAAAGGTTGTCGTAGTTTCACCTTCATCAGATACTACAGAGTGCAACAAAATGTACTAGACACTTGGAGGATTTGGTAAAAATCTGGATCAGCCCCTCCCCTCAGGGCCAGGGACAAATAGGTAATCCTTGAAATATAAATATGGCCCATGCAAGTTTTCATTCTGATGACCCCTGGTTAGCAGTGGAAGAGAACACGGCAAGCTGGAGAGAAGGTGCTGGATGCCTGAGGCTTCCCATATACAATTAAGTATACCGTCCTGCCAGTTTGAAGACATTTTTAAACCTTAAGTAATTATAGGCTCTGTATGTCACTATGAGGGCTTTCTGGAGGAAGAGGGCTATAATTTTTAAAAAGAAGAATGCTGACAAGTTACTAGCAGGAACAAGAATGTGTTAATCAGAAAAATTTATAAAATAATTTAGAAATCTATCTTTATGGAAAGACAGACTAAAGAATGACATATTCTCCAATTAGTTGAACGCTGTCTGTTTTCAACAACGTCCACGTGTCTTGGAGATATTGTGAGTAAATCCATATAATGTTTTCTTACATTAGTACATCACAATTGCTGTTTATGTGATAGATTTTGGCTTATATGATAGAGACACAGGGTCAAAATGTTTTTCATTGTAAAGTAGAAAAAATGAACTCTAAACACCTGCAGATGCCATGAGACTCTTAATTTAACTGATATTATATATGTGTTTATACGTTATTCCTGCCAATTTTTCCAAATTTTAAATCTTAGAAACTTTGAAGATAAATTAGCAAAAAAGATTCTGTTGAACTTGTTTTATGGTGTGATTAATCTTAGGTATTATTTTATAAAAAGTCCTTTTTTTTTACAATAAGCACTTACAATTGCCAAAAGGAGAGTTTTAGTGATGTTGAATAAACAGTATTGAATATTTCTATATCAAAATGATCTGATATTTCTTGTCCTTTTAATGAATTGGTGATGCTTCAAATGCCCTTTCAGAAAAAGATAACTTGTGCACCTCAATGGATTTTGAAAAATTACTGCAGAACCTCACATATAAAGATATCTCAAAAATAAGGCCCCCTGAAAGAAAATTATTTGTCTCCAGTATATTTAAATCCATGTATCCTGTTAAGTATCTAATTATATTATATGAATACCTGGAAAAAAAAGTCCAAAACTCCATTCTGGCTACCAGGAGAATATGCTGTTTCCATGGTAACTCCCTCTTGTACACATTCCACTTGCTCGTGGAGAAAAAGCACTTCATTGATATAGTGGTGCATCTTCTCATTGGTCATGTTGACACAAAGCTATTGTGGAGAAAACAAGAAAACATTTCACAAGATAGTACAGCAATGCATATTCACTTGTTCAATGACAGTTTCAGATTGGCAAAGTATTGACTCAGGGAGGTTCCAATCAATTAGTCTATCAAAATAAAGCATTACAACGTTGCCTGAGAAGTCAGTTTCAACTGAAGTCCAGTAATGGACTTGCACATATTTCACAAGTCAAATATATCTGATACCATATCATCTAACTATTCAAAGTATGTTAAAAACAACAAAAAGTATGATTACAATATTAACTTATAAATGTTGGGTCTCAAATATATTTGAGCACTTAAAATATTTCCAAAAGGAAAATATATTTGAGCTCTCATCAGGAAATGAAGATAAAGCTGGGTTTGCCATGAGATCCCAGAGAAAAGAGAAGCATTTCTTGAGGGACTCATTTCTGATTGCATATTAGTGATGAGTAAGAATGAATGTGGTGGTTCTTTCAGAAACAGTAATCACCAGTCAAATCATTTTATTGTAGAAATTATTTTCTTTATCAGAAAATTTTCCACATTCCTCCAACTGTCAATTTTTCTCTTTGCACAAGACATTCCCACGAGGAAACAAATACGTTATTTCTTAATCTTAAAAAAAAAAAAAAAAAACTTTTAAAGTATTAAAAAACTAAACCATAACTCAAATCTAACCAGCATAAAATGTGACTTCCCCTCTAGTCTACTATTCTACTTCTCTGCTTCCTTTCATATCAAAACACACACACACACACACACACACACACACACGGCTGATTTCTACTTATTATCTCAAATTCTTCTCTTCCCACTCCCTCTTGAAACCACTCTAATAAAACTTTGGACACCATAGCGCCATCAAAATTGCTTTTGTGGAACTCATCAGCAATGTACGCATTTCTTTTTTTTTTTTTTTTTTGGAGACAGAGTCTCGCTCTGTTGCCCAGGCTAGTGCAGTGGTGCGATCTAGGCTCACTGCAAGCTCTGCCTCTCAGGTTCACGCCATTCTCCTGCCTCAGTCTCTCGAGTAGCTGGGACTACAGGCTCCCGCCACCACGCCTGGCTAATTTTTTGTATTTTTAGTAGAGACGGAGTTTCACTGTGTTGGCCAGGATGGTCTCAATCTCCTGACCTCGTGATCCGCCTGCCTCGGCCTCCCAAAGTGCTGGGATTACAGGCGTGAGACACCGCGCCCAGCCAGCAATGTGCACATTTCTAAATCCAGTGTTCAAGTCTCACATTTGTTTCTCTTGACCCATCCCCACCGCAGCGTAATTTGACTGAGTTGGTTTCTCTCCTTCCATGGAGCACTTTCTCACCTGTCCTCCAGGACACCACACACCCTTGGCTTTCTAGCTCACTGGCTGCTTCCTCCCTATCTCCTTTCCCAACTCTTTATGGACTCTTGCCTGCTCATGTTGGAGTGTCCAGGGGCTCTGTTTGTGGGCCTTGTCTCTTCTCTGTCTACACCCACTTCCTTTGTGAGTTACAGACCCTCATGCTCCCTCATCTGCACCCTAAACCACTATGTTATACTAGACAAAATTTAAAGCCACTTAGAAATATGTAGTGCTCAGTAACTAAAAATAATTACAGATCAATATTTATTTAGATGGAAACAACTGATAAAACATTTGAAAGAAACTTAGATCTCATCTGCGAAGGGAATAATATCTATGATATTTAATGAGAAATATCTTGTATTAATATAAACAAATGCCAAAGCTTTTGTTAAAAATTAACAAAATATTAGCCAGGTGCGGTGGCTCACACCTGTAATCCCAGCACTTTGGGAGGCTGAGGCAGGTGGATCACCTGAAGTCAGGAGTTCGAGACCAGTCTGACCAATATAGTGCAACCTCGTCTCTACTAACAATACAAAAATTAGCCTGGCATGGTGGCGGGTGCCTGTAGGCCTAGCTACTCAGGAGGCTGAGACAGGAGAATTACTTGAACTTGGGGGGCAAAGGTTGCAGTGAGCCGAGATCATGCCACTGCACTCCAGCCTGGGTGACATAGCAAGATTCTGTCTCAAATAAATAAAATAAATAAGAAAGACTGGAAAAAAAGAGCACAGAAAAGAAAGAACTTCCTGGGTTCCTCTTTTCCATGTACCCCAAATCTTCTCCAAGTCTGATGTCATCACAACACCTGGGAAGCAGGAGCTCCTTCTAGATGTTCCGGTCCTGCTGATGGGCACTCATGTCCTCCTTCTAGCCCATATAAGGACAGCTTCCAATGGGCAAGACAAATTACCTTCTTAAGTGACCAGCACCAGGTCACTCCATATTCTCCCAAAGGGAGCTCCCACTTACCCTTAAGGGTGTGGCCAGTAATGTACTGAGAATTACATGCACCTAGATGGAAAAGGGCATTTTCTCAAAGATCCAGTTACTTGGGAGAATGGAAATTTATGACGTGAAGAAGTCTCAGGGGCTAACTTCTTCAGAGAAGAAACAAACACATCAAAGAGCAGAACACTGGTGTGAACACACAAGGGGATGTGGCGTGGGACTGGGTGGATTTGCTGTAAAGTTCTAGGGTTAGAACTTTCTTGCCAGGGTTAGAATGTTGTGCGTAGGTGTAGCTAGCTCAAACATCTTCAGAAACGGGGCGATGAGAGCATGAGAGGGTGGCAGGCAAGGGGTTCCTTGACTGAAGCAGAGGTGGGAGAGCTCAACGTGCAGAGGTCCTTACAACCTGATGGAGTTAGTTTAATGATGAATGCACATGGTCTTTTTCATTATTAACACGACAGGTGGAGAATAACCATATAGTAGACATACACCACACAAAATATTAAAGTAATAGCCATATTAAAATAAGATCTGAATATCACATATTGACATCCAAATCATAAGAAAAGTAATTCTTAGCTTCAGGTCAAAAAATGGTGCTCCATGATGACCACCCTTCCCAATGGTTTTTCTTGTCTTTCTGCCTTCATGGGAAAAGATGGTTTCTTAAATTCAGTGATAAATGAATTTCTGTAGATAGAAGAAGTTTCCCTAAAACATTCTATTACAACATGAAATCTAAGTTAAAAATTAAAGAAGAACCTGCCATGTTGTGGTGGTCCTAGAAGTCATTTTAAACCTAAAGAACTTGAGAGGATTTATATAAACCAGGAGACTCTCCTGATATGGCCTTCTTCCCCCAGCACTCCCTCCAAGGTTACTGGATTTTCTTCCTTGTATATTATTTGCCCAGAAGGTAACTAGAACTTTTCCTCTCTGTCTTCTGGCAACTAGATTTCAAAAGAAATGCACAAAGTGGGAAGTTCCTTACCTTTTAAACTAAGTATTTCTTAGGTAAACTCACACTTCAGTGATCTTTTCTCTTAATTAAAATAGTCGCTTTGGATGAGAACATACCATATAAAACATTTAATTTTAAAGGCGCTGTTGTTAAGGCAAATACGATTTGAATATGGACACAGACCAATAAATTCTGCACATTATAGCTGGCAGAGGGAGGAGTGGCATTCAGTATCTAAATATCATATGAAAAATATTTTCTTTCTTGTAACTGATACAGTCTAGCACATTTATCCTCTTGAATTATTCCATGAAAACCAAGTGATGCCAGGCGATCCAGATCTTCATGATCAGTTTCTATGTTTATCTTATCCTATAAATCTCCAGTAATGGTTTTGGAAAGAAAAACCATTTTCCATGCAACTATGTAGCATCTGTCCACAATTGCATCCCTACTATTAAAGTAATACATCTGCTTGTCACTTTCATTTCAATCATAAATAAAAAATAAAATTGTTAAAGAGAAATAAAAACTGTTCAAACTATTTCACTTTGCTTCAGAAATAATATTTTGATGCATTCCTTTAATAATTTGTTAAACTCCAATAATAAGACAATTTTGTTATAAAGGAATAATAAGTGCTATGAAATTATTAAAGTTTGGGGTGAAATATTTACTGAAAATGTACAGAAAATAAATGACTTCTTTTATGGAATGAAACCATTGGAAAATATTCTTTGACTATATGATATATACAATTGTAACTTCTCAAGTTATTATTAAAAATACATTGAATCATCAAAAAATTAACACAAATAGATCCGTCCTTTACCTCAACAATTTGACTGTTTATGGATAGTGTGCTTAAGTGGAATACATTTTAGGGAACAAATTGCTGAGAAACAAATGTTGAATCCATGAAATAAAGTAATGTCTATTACTGTGCGAAACGATAAGAAGTTTGATAAAAATGATTCCAAATTTTAAAAAATCAGTGACTGATTATTTACAAGACATACCCACATTATATGACATTTTGTTTTCCTCTCATTTTGAGATTGTCTAATTGAAAATACTTAGATGGACATGGATGACTCTAACATATTTCATACAATTCTTTTGTTATTTTGCATTCAGAATAGGTTGCAGCTCTGTAGGTACAAAAATTGCTTTCGATCATGATCTGAGTGTATCCTCCTGGCCTTGACTGCCTTACAGAACACAACCTCTGTTGTGTTTTGACTGACCTGAGGCTTCTCATAATAGAAAACAGATACTGTAATTGTTTTTTTCTTACTGATATTTTACTGAGTTGAATATTGGCTTCACTGAATTGATCCCCTGGTTTAATCAAAACAGTGAAACCAAGTGTGAATGTAGATGAAACCATGGCAAATACAAGGATGGGAAGAAGCGAGGTCTCAGGTTTCTTCCTTTTTTCCACAAAGGTCTAAAGCAATCTACCGAACTTTGGATAACAGAAATGGATGTGGCCTGTGTCTTTGGATAGAGCAACCCAATTTATTCCTCTCCTAGTCAAAATGATTGATAAAACCTACAGCTTCTCTGTTGGACTTCTAGCATTGTTAAGCTTCAGCATCAGCTGTGAGTTCTTTTTGTGGCATAGGGTGATCTTTACAATACACCTGAACCTTTTATTGAACCTCATGTTCTTTGTGTTCTAGGGGGAAAAAAATCTTAAAATAAATTATTGAAATCCCATAGAGAAAATTCCAGCTT